GGGGGGGGGGGGGGATTAAGCTCAGCCTGGAGTCAACACCAAAACGAGCATAAGTGAATGTCATTTGGCTGAAATCAGCCAGTGTTCATGCATCCAAACAGTTCTGTAAATCCCTTTCCAGAGATTTGCGGTTCTTCACGGTGATCTACATTCCTCATTCTCCTCCAGCTATACGCACTGAATTGTATTACGTCTTGTTTTGCTATTCTGTGGTTTTGTTGCATTGTATTTAATGTTTCTATCAGAGCTTGGAGCGATGTTGATTCCAAAATCTGCCACCATACATCTGAAATCAGCCAACGTCAGTGCTTCCAAACACAGCTGTCTCTCCTCCTCATGCATTCCCAGAGTCTTGCGGTTCATCGCAGTGATCCTTATTGCATTATGCCGTGTGAGGGGTTTTGCTGGGTTATCTTGTTCTGAGGTTTGTTATACTGTGCTGTGTATGTTGGACTAAAAGTTGACTAGAAGAAACAGGAATCTAACATCTCCATCAGGAGTTGGACCAGTGCAGATGGGATAGGCAACATGTAAAAAAAGACAGCAGTGATATATCAAAACAGCTCCGTCTCTTCCCCCTGCAGTTCAACTGTGTTATTTTTTTTGTCACTGTGATTCAGTGGGCCAGCTCTGCCAATGTATTATCCTGACTTACTGACTCTCAGGGTCACAGACACAGCAGATAGTATAAAGTATAAAGTTGGCAACGTTAACACCCTATCTTCGCTGATGGAGAACAGGCACTGTGTCTCATATAAATAAACCATCCCTTTTTTTTCACAACTGAGCAGACACAGATGTGGATGCATACGCACACATACACACGCATACACACGACTCCCTCCGTCTCTCACACTTACTGTACATACCACCCTCCCTGCTGGTTTATTTTCCATCTTTCCATCACGGACTCCTCACTCCAGTGAAATATATAATAGGATCTTTTATATTTGTAGGAGAATGACTAAGTGTTAGAGCAGCACTGAAAGAGTGTGTATGTGCGTGTGTGTGTGTGTGTGTGTGTGTGTGTGCTTGTGCCGGGGCATATGCGTACAGAGAATTTGTTTATTTGCGCCCCTGCATGTGTGCCTGCAAGCAAGTTTTCTGTCGCATGGGTGACACCTTCAAAACAACATTTCAGCACCAAAACCCCTCAACCCCCCCATTCACTCTCTCTCTCTGTCTCTCTCTAACCGGCGTGAAGTTAAGCATTCCAAACAGTAATCCAATAAAGTCCCATTAATCCAAATGGCCGCAGAGAAATCGCTTAGATGAAAGTCCACTAACTAGACTTGGCATCGTTTCCATAAGTGTAAAACACAATTAGAAGCGCGCACACAACATTTAACAGACAAACACACACATTTGTACATTCACAAGAGACTCACAGGCAGACGAGGCACTCACACAGGCAGTAAGACATGCAGATGCACACGTACACACAAAAATAATGAGTGACCTGCTTAGTTTTCCACTTTACTTAAACATAATAGCATGCACCTTTATTAACTGATGCCAATTCCACACAAAGGTTGCAGTTGACAGCCTAACAAGGTGTTTAACAGATAATTGAGTGTGTGTGTGTGTCTGTGTGTGAGCTTGGTCTCCCTTCAATGGCGTATTCATCTCCCTGTTTCCCTTACAATATCAGCATCACAAGAAAACACGGCACATAAACAGTCCAGTTCCTGCACATATTACTGAGTGTTTATAACTACAATATGTATTTGTGGAATGCTTATCCGACAGCAGCAGATATAGACAGAAATTTAACTACACATACAATGCTTTCTTTGAGTTTAAACTCCCTTGTTTGAACCGTCAAACCTCAATGCCCCGTTAGCGGACTGGTCTTTACAGACTCATGCTGTGTAGCCAAACATTGTTAAAACCTACAAACCTTTATTTGAAATTCTAGTGGAGATCCCAAGTTTCCAAATATACCAAATACATCAGATTGAATTTTGGGGTAATATTTAGCCCCATTTGGGTCTCATGCTTCCCTTAAAACACCTATAGAAGTGACTGTGTGCTGTATCAGAGACAGTTAACTAGACGTGGACTGGCTAACCAACCAGTTAGTCCTCTCTCTT